GTGTGTGTGTGTGTGTGTGTGGTTGCAGCAGTGATCTCATTTGAGCTACTGTCCACTGTCAATCCCTCTGATGACAGGACAATGAACATCTCCTGCCAATGCAATAAACAGTAAATCCAACATAAATACCAATTGTGAGAAAATGATGCAGCTTGTGGTCACAGCAGGTGAAACTGCAGCCTCCACAGGAAGGATGAGGAAACCTCAGATTGTGAAGTGTTCCCAGATTATTTTTAAGGAGGTTAATGCAAATGAAAACTGCAGTCACTTCAAATATACAGTTATATCACACTTTAGATTGTGAATCATAGTAATTCTACTCATTATGTAGATATATGTCTCATTTATCATTCAAATAAAAAAAAGTATTATTATTTACATTTTACTGCCAGCAACAGTAACACTGCGCTGTAGTTGTTTCCACTTAATGGAAGATATTACAGTTATCATAAATTCCGAGTTTCTCCTTGAGGCTGATGTGACATCAGGAGGCTACTTAAATTACACTTTAATGTGGATGCAGTATTTACATATTTGAGCTGGTGTGACATGATTCAGCCCATAGAGAGCAGCACAGCAGCAGCTGTCTGTCCTCTGTGAGTCTGGATTTATCTTGAAAGTAAATTAAATTATCTTCAAATTACAACACAGGCTGTCTAACACACAACAATAATCTTAACTGTCTATAATCCATTTATACTTCTCTGATCCAGGGTTATATTTACTCCCTCTGACTGACTGGGAAGCTGAAAAGACTTGAATCCACTGTATTTAAACCAGAATGGATGACTGGTCCTATTGGTTGCACAACAAGAGAGAAATATTGGATTTGTTCACGTTCAGACACCGGTCAACACAAAAGCAATTCAAATAGCAGCATGTGTTGTGGGCTGGAAACAGAACAGAAAATACTATGGTGCCTGTAAGCTTCTTACTAAAGATAACATACAGCCAGGAAACTGTGAGACTGATTCTCAGTCTACCAAAATGTATAGAGCAGGATTCTGACTACCAGTGGAGACAAGGGGGAGTCTGGTTTGAGCGAAATACACAGATGTGGTGGGCTCTGGTTGGAACGAGGGAAGAGCCACAGAGCAGCAATATGAGGTGAAGTGTTGACACAGAAACAGCGACAGCCTGGTTATTGTGAGTGTGAAGATTTTAGCAGATTAAATCAGGCAGCAATATAAATAGCATCTTTATAGGCGGATAAAGAGCAGCTGAGTTATAGTGCAGCCTGACAGTGGTCAAGGTCATCTTTCATTATAACCACTGGCAGTGCAAGCCAATAACAGGAGCTTAGAGATACACACCTACACAACCACACACGCACGCGCACACACACGCACGCACACACACACACACACAAGGACCAAACACACACACAGTGAGATAGAGTTCCCCTGCACTCACATATATGCATGAAAGGGGTGAAAACCTGTTAAACATCCGGAGGTATAAATTCAAAAACATGAGGCCATGCACATTTATAGTAAGTCGTATAACTTACATCCATTAAAAGAAAGATATGACAGTGAAAAAATGTGTCTTAACGCAGTCTGGGATAATGTCATGCAGGTTTTTACTGGATTCAACATGGGCAAACCACAGCCTGGCATGCTTCGTTGCGTAAACAGACATGACACACACATGTCCAAACACACATATAGCCTCCCAGTTAACCATATGCAAGGAGCAGGCACCACGGAGCATGAGGAGAAGGGCACCAGCCACCACAGCTACAGCACAAGCAGAGGAGTAGCACAGCACACTGCACAAAGAGCACTGGGTCCCAGCAAACCTCTCAGGGAAACATTACAAACACACTGGATCACTGTGTTGGAGATACGTTAACAGGAAGTGGAATCGCTGCAAAATTCGAGCTTCTCGCAGCTCACATAAGGAGAGAGGGCACCGAAAAGGAGAATGCTTTAAACTCAAGAGTGACAGCTGAGAGGTTTATCTGAGAGGGGGAGGCAGGCTGAGGAGGGCGTCGGGGACACACGGGCAAACACACGGTCACTCACTGGGTGTCGCTTTGGGACGTCATAGACCCCTTCCTTCTGCTGACTGGTGGGAACCTAAACAATCGTTCAATAAAGTCAGAGGAGCCGAGAAAAGCCTGTCACCTCTGGATTAATCAAGCAGTGAAACGTTACGACACTGTGACAAACCGGATGCAGCTCTGGAACATGGCTCTTCAGGAATCAAATCCATCATGAGCAGAGTGTGAGTGATTGTGCGTGTGTGCATGCAGGAATAATCAGAATTAACATCTGTAAAGTAAAGACTCATCTTCAAGACAAATCAGTAAACTATCGGCCTGCGGAGATGGTCCCCCTTCCTTGCTTTCTGCCCAATAAAGAATGGATAAGGCTGCTTATCACACCCACAGACATGTAATAACTCAGATTGTCACACACACGGAGACATGTAATATCTATGTCACGCAGCCAGATAGATTTTGACAGTGTGTGCAATGAGAAGAAGCAGCGTGAAGCGATAGCAGGACGCTGATAAATATGAATCATGGGATTCCTTTGGTTTTGTTTCTCCTAAAGTGACACAATGTGTGAGATAAAGTTTTATTCTCTCCTAGATGGATTGCCCTAATCAGAGTGTGTGGTAAATGAAAAACGGCACTGGTGAAGAATGTGGGTTTCTGTCGAGCACAGTCCCATTCTTCCTCCTCCTCTCCTCTCTGTGCCTTGTTTACTTCTTTCACATGTTTATTTCCAGAGGCTTCCATCTTTATTCATACGTTAGCTCCTCAGTGGCTGGGGGCTGGCTGAGACTCACGTTACTTACGTCTGATATGTGTGTGTGTGTGGTAGGGGGGTGTTTGCATGTTTATATGTGTGTGTGGGTGTGTGCATCTCTCTGTTTGTGTATGTTTGTGCACGTGCCAGCTCTCTTTTTCTATTTTCAATCCATTTTATTTAAAGATCAAACGAGAGGCTGGTGATTAATCTTTCTTTCCCCCGCTTTCTTTCATCTCCTCAGGAAAAAAAAAGAGGGAGGGGAGGCGAGAAAAAGAGGAGGGGTCTGCCTTCCAAACAGGACGGGAATAACCTCCACATCCCCTCCACATGCACCGTACCCTCCCCCTCTTCATCCCTCGGAGGTCTATACCCACGTCTCTGAGGAGTGCACCCAGAGAAAGGCTCTTCTCTTTGGGGCAAATAGCTTTAGCTGCCGTCCAGAGAGTGTTGGCTGGTTGGTTAGCTCTCATTCTCTGTCTGTCTTTAATTTCTTGTATTTATTTCTTGTATTTATTTTCTACATGTGAAAAGTGAAGCCATTATATTCAAGAGCAGGCCACGATATGGTTTGTCCCATTAAGGACAGATGTACCTGGTATCTACTGATCAGCAGGGGAAAGATTAAATCTGCTCAGAGCAGCTCCTGTCGGTAGCCACAGTTCAACGCTGACAAGATGAGGACGACACAACTCAGACACAAGACGAGCCTGTGAATACCTGATAAATGCCCTCTTCTGATTGGTCGCGGATGGGCTCGTGTCCCGCCTCAAACACAATGTACTACAACGTCAGCAGCAGAGGGGAGGAAAACGAGAAGCAGGAGAGAAATTGGAAGATAAAGAAATTAAGAGAAAAGTGTTGAAATCGTAATAAGGTCATTCATCAAACAGCAGTGTGAATAAGTTCTAATTGACAAGCAGCTGAAAACTAGATCCTGGTGACACATGGAGGAAAATTTAAGCAGCAAAAACTTCCAACAGTGGCTGAGAAAAAGTAATACATCTTTCAGCTGATCATGCACCCCTACTGGCAGACATGCACACAGACGCAAGGCTGCAGTCCCATCCCTTACTCCTGGTGACTCCACATACACATCTGTGGACGTCTGACCCTCCAAACTGCACATGTTGTGCTGTCACCACACTGTAACCACACAGGGGCTGTCTCCCCACAGTGCACACAGAGAGGAGCAAGCTGACGGACAAGAGATGAAGCAAGTTGACAGAAGCAATGTGATTGGTCAGAAAAGTTACCTGGTACACCGGGTCCTCCAGGTCCTCCTCCAGTATTGTCTGCAGGTGAGCGGCGGCAGAAAAGAGGAGAGAGAGATCAGACGGGGGGAGATGAGAGGAGCAGAGGGGAGAAGACACAGGAGAGGGAAGAGGCGGGGAGTTATGCTGGTGGAGTAGAAAGTGTAGGCGGTAAGCACAGACGAGACGGAGCAGCTTCCTGGCGTTCACATAATCATCTTAGCAATCGTCAGAGAAAGGGACACAGACAGAGAGATAAAGAGAAATTCAACAGCAGCTGTGCAGACGTCAGAACAGAGGGAGGTGAAATAAGCACAATGGGCAGATGATGCCGCTGCAACACCCATAAGTGGCTGCTCTGTTTATCATTCAGGTAGTTTTCTTCTTTCTCAACCCATGAAGACCAGATACATATGCTTGTATGTTCTTTTCAGACTGAGTAAGAGGTTAGCATGCTACTCCACTTACAGCCCGATGAGATCTGTGCGTTTCAACCACAGCGTCATTGTCAAGACGTGACAAATGAAATACATCTTGATAGCTGAAATACTTGCAGAAAAGGCTAAATGCATTGTGGGAAATTGTTTGGTTGTTGGCGTATAACGCAGATTACAGTTTCACTGACGAAAACAACAATCACATGAAAACTCAGACCCAGATAATGATACTGCTAACCAGGGCTCAGTCAGTAAGAGGTGTGTTTGAGGCGGAGGAAGAAGATGGGGGGGAATGGCAAAGATTTGCATGAAAGTGAATATTTAAGCTTCCATTTTTTTTATATTTCATGTCTCTCATCTGTTTCAGAGGCTGAGAAATAAAAGTTTTTGCAAATGTTAGCAATTCAGTCAGCTCTTCAGAAAACCCGCAGGGTTTAGGAGGTCTTTTTCAAACAAGGCTTAGGTTTAAGAGTCTTTTTCTATTTGGCAACTTAAGTCTTACTTGACGTTCATCATACTTAGGGCAGATTGTTAAAGTAAGTGGACAGAAATACAGTAAGAAAGAGATATACGTGTACCTGGTAGACGGCCTGTTCACACTGCTTGTCTTTCTGGGCCTTCTTCTCCATCTCTTCTCTCTGCTTTATCTCATAGATGAGCTGGAACAAGTCCCGCAGGTCCAGAATCACAGGCTCAGCCTAGGATCACAAGGATACATCATCCACCCACACATCAACGCACAGACACTATGCACACTCATTGATCAGAACTCATGTACTGAAACCATGCCTTGTTATTGCAGATATGCGGTTAATAAAGATGACAGAACCTGCTGTAGTTATTACGGCTGTAATGAGACTGACAGAAAAAACATCATGTCCTCATTCACTCTCCACTCACACATCTGCACGATCACTGCCAACTCTGTTCCTCCTCCCGGCCTGGTTCAGACAGTGACAAGAGCGGATACCAGCTTCTTGTCTTACCTTGTACCACCTTCTCGTCAGCGGGGCAAATGTGCCGACAACAAACCCATTAGATGACTCACAAAGTATAACTACTGTCACATCACAACAGCAGAGAGTCCTATAGTACTATGGTGTTTCAGATCTAATCAATTATTGACTGGAGCAACGTGAAGTGCACCTGGAGTTCACAGACTGAACGCTGCCTTGAATAAAATCTTTGTACTTTAGTGTTGTCTTTCTGGGATGTTCTCTACTGCATACTGCTCATAAGAGACACTCTGAGGTAAACTGTGGCTCCTGCTGAGCCAACAGTAAAACATTATGTCACTCTGTCAGTCTTAGATCCTCTGTGCATTTGACACTACATACTTATCTGTCTTTCCTTGGCATCTCTCTTCCTTTCTGCTCAATCAAAACTTCTAGGTAAGATGAGACAGGCAGGATTTAGAGGAGGAGTGGGCAGCTCATAGGACCACTGAGATGAGTTACCCTCAGTTTAGCACTCTTGAATTAGATGAATGAACCAAAGCCTACAGCGATGAGTGATTTAATAAGGAGTAGTGATAGGGAATTTTACTGTGGACACACAGTTCTAGTCAAATCTACACTGATCAGGATTTCTTTACCCAGATGTAATTCTAGTGTTGGTTATTGGTGGGTCAGAGGATGATACTGAATTCATTTCTTAGTACAGGAGTAGTAGGAGTATATTGGCTCCTCCTCAGTCAAATTCAGTTTTCTACACCCTCCAGAGAATGTGCCTGAAATTATTGTACAACTAGAGAAAGATATACAATTACTGCAATGATCACAAGTGAAAACCAAACTGACATCTTCGAGTTGAAGTTTTTGGTTTGGTCAGTAAGCAGTAGACTGTGAGGGCACACTGTCCAAAGACTGACCAGTGATGGCTGAACCACTTCACCATAGGAGAGGAGGTCGTCCCCTTATCAGAAGGTTGGTGTCAGAAAGGCAAGAAATTCATTTTTAATGTTTTGTTGCAATGATTTGCCCACTGTGATTTATTTTCAAAGAGAGCACAATAAAAGATACAATTAGTCAAAATATAATTACTTCTTTAGAAATAACTTAAATATCTGACACTAGTCCATACAAATTGGATCCAAGGTTGCTTTTCCAACAAAGAGACCCATTTATAATAATTATAACTAACTTTTCTCAAAGGTTACAACAACGACTGTCCATGAAATCCTTCCCTGTACATAATTAATGGACTTCCACTTCTAAATAAAACATGTCTCTCTTGTGCTGACACTTTAGAGTTTAGTGGTAAGCCAATTACTTTAAAGTTTACCCCCAAATTGGCCTTTTCGGAACAACTTTAAATCTCAGTCTTCATGACAGAACAGAGATGCTCCGTTAATTCACATCAAAGTGGTTACTTTCCAATTACAGCCTCTGCCATAAGCTCACTGCCTCCACCCTCTCGTTGCTCCACAGCGAACACATTGTGCCGGTGATGGCTGCATGGTTCAAATACTGACAATGGGAGAACATATAATTGTGACCTTTCCTCTGGCACACATCAGGTAAATGACTGATGAGAATTTAGCCTCGTGCTACACTGCAGGGCAGCAGGGTAACATTTGGTGAGCAACATTTTTTGTGGGTGGCTGGTGTAGTGAAGTCAAAGCCTGATTCAGCCCACAGTCCCTCAGTGTGTGCCTATCTGTCTAAGTCAAAGAACAGCGTCTCATGGCCCTAGGAGGACGGATATGCCATTAGAGCTGGTGACACACACTCAAATCCTCATCGACTCGCTATGGGAAATCAATATGGCTACAGAGTGAGCCAGCTGGATCCAGACTAAACAAGCCAGACACATAAACCCAACAAAAGCAACAACAATCATAACAGGTGCAAAAGGCGACTCAATATAACATACAGTACGTAGCTGCAGGACTGAACATGAATCTGTCCACACACACAAAAACACACAACACCTAAAGCTAGAGCTCTACAGAGTACACTGCTTGTTTGATGAACAGCGCAGAGGGGACATGAGCTGGTGTTTGAGGGTCCTTATCTAAATGTCAAGAGGTTCCTGCTATTGAGAAAAGACCCTGATGAATCACACATTAACCTGCACACAAAGGGTACAAGGCGAAACATGTATAAACAATTGGTCGTTACTCAAGCGTGCGCACACACGCACACACACACACACACACACACACACTGACCGACTGTGCCGTCTTGATGGCCATGAAGCGGTGGTTCCCTTCCTTCCCGCAGACGTAGCCAAAGGCTCGGTGGTCCGTGATGTCCTTGGCGATGTAGGAGATCTCATGGACTGCATGGTGGTGATGGAGGACCTGCAGGAGACACAGCCCGTTTAATAACTCACAAACAAAATCCAGTGTAACAACAACTATATATTTTTTATTTCTTGTTAAATTAGTACTTCATTTTATGGATACGATTTCAGACATTTTCTCCCATAAGCAAATAGATGTACAATTTTTAAAAGGACCTTGCATCTTTCTCAGATTTGATCCACTTCATATACATTTTCCGCTAATTTAACTGTTTTCCTCTAAAGCACTCAATGAAAAAGATGTTTGGCAAGTAGCACTTGTAGCACAATTAATAAGATAAAAGTAGTTTTCAGGTACACAACAAAGTTGGTATAAAAAAGTTAAAAGTATGAACACACACTGTCACACAATGATACTGATGAATTCAACAAATTCCTGTACACACCTCCAAAAACCTGTAGGAGGCTGAAAAAAAAATTCTCCCTCAAGTGTACAGGCAGAAACAAACTGTCTCACACAGAGACCTTGTATCCTAGCTCCCCTGCCCTCTCTAGTTTAGGCTGGGTGGGGAGTGCCAAGCTGGCATTGCCCGTGGCAGATGGCACTGTTTTTCCTGAGGACAGAGGGGGGGGGGGGATCAGTGACAATCACAGCTCGGCAAGCTGTCGACTTGATCACTTCATCTGTGCCCTCGCTCTCAACACACACTCAAACAAACACACACACAAAGCACAACTTAATATGCAACGGCCCTCTGTTAAGTCACACTAAATGTCTGCTTTGTTGTTACTGTCTATGCCAGCTGCATGCTGGGAGAAGAGACACACAGTCAGCATAATGACCCTGTAGCTCTTGAATGCATGCTAGGGGTTGGAGCGCTATACATCAGAGGCTAAACACACACATCTGCTGGCTTTGAAGCAAGTCCAGAAATAACACATGGCAGAGTATAGTGAAACCAATTTAACACAGGGGCACTGGCACGCACACACAAATGTGCAAGTACACCAACACACACTGAGAGCCCCGGCAGAAATTGATAATTATTGTATGAGTCATGTCTTCTAAATTTAATAATTGGAGTAATGATTATTATTATCACCACTGATTGGCCTGGAAATGACAGCTGAGGCACGCAAGCACACACACACACACAAACACACACACACACACACACACACACACACACACACACACACACACACACACAGCTCATTTGCAGAGGTTATAGAATTATCTGTGGGTGGGTGGTGAGGTGACAAAGTGCGAGCAGAGAATGAGATGACTGCATAAATTCAATTGTTCTGTCTCGTCTTGGAAGCAACTCCAGCTCAGAGAGCAGAAACAATTTACATACAAAGACAGTAGCTACCTAGTTGGTCAGGTGTGCTAAAAACAGCCATTTTCTGATGTCGCAATTTAACAAAGAGCAGAATTTTTTCCGCAGGGATTGTGGTAAAACTACATTTTCAAAAGAACAGTCACATTGCCAACATCTCACTCCAATTTCAACGGTTCTTAGTTTGACATCAGGGAATAGTGCATGTGTTTAGAAACTGCCACCTTTCTGGAACAATCTTGTGACAAACTGAAAACCAAAGGGCATGTTTACCTTGTACACTCATTGTACTTCAGATTCACTATATACTATATTTGTCCTGCCACAGTTTCATAATGATGCAAATATATATATTTATCTTAGTATTTTGTTTTGTTTCTTCATTGTAGAGCTGCCCAAATGTTGCTCCCTGTCTCTCTCATTCACAAAAATAAATCCGGCCTGGTAAAACCTCCATAAATTTCTCAGTAGGAAGGATTTAGCACTTTTCAACTGTTTCGTTTTGGTGATCAAATATAAGGTGGAATTTGCTTTGCTTAAGTATTCCCTTCATTTACAAGCTTTAAACACCAGTTGTACAGAACTGTGATTTGCACATATAAAACTGGAACAAATGTTATTATTCTCATATCTCTATTTGACATTTCTGCCAATGAGACTGCAACCAACTGCTGTTTTTTCTGCAAAAACATTCTAAATGTTGTTGTTGCATCATTCTTGGTAAAGTTTGGACTGAAGATTCAATCTCAGGAGGCTGTTCTTCACTGGAGCCGACACGTCTGGCAGCATCACCTATCAGATGCAGTCCAAAGTTGCTAAATAGATGCACTCTCTGGCAAAGTGTTTGCAAAAACAGGTGGGTGTATCAAAAAGTCGATACTGACTGTGTACTTTCTCGTCTCTTCTCTCCAGCACTGGTAATATGCACTACTGGTCTCTCTCGCTCTCGCACGCGCGTGTGTGCATGCAGACACACACGCGCACACGCACACACACACAGTGTCTTTGAGGGACTGTGGGCAGCGTGCCCTTCAGCAGTTGCTGGCCACTGAACCAAGATATTCCCCGTTACGCTGGGAGTGAGGAGGGAGAAGCAGCAGGATACCGTGTCTCTCTCCTCCCTGCGTTTCACATCTCTTTCCTGGGGGGAAGACAGCATCTCGACCTGCAGAGGCTGTCCGGTCTCCAGTCAGTAGGTCAGGTCTGAGATTAGCAGTTAGCTTTGAGGCTTAATTAGTTCCTATGGCACTGCTGAACTTCCCATTCCACATTGTACAATCCATACTCTCAGGCTTGACCCTCTACTGTAAGTGGGAGGTTCTCTGTTAGCCAACATCAATATATACGAGATGAGACTCAAAGTGAATGTATGGAAGAGTCTGGCATCGATAACAGTTCTAGCTTCACCTGAGTCCAGCCTCAATGAAGACTTTGTTTCAGGCTCTTTTCTAACAGATTCTCTCCATGTGTACTTTGTTGATAAAGTATTTTCTGCTGTCTGAACAGGACTAATTTAATCTTTCTGATTTGATTCTCTGAGGGAGCTGCGGGGCTCATGTGAGTTCTTGACCTAACGCTGTGCAGCGGCCCTGACGAGACTGACAAAAAGGGTTGAGGAAGCTGGGTGTGGACGTGTGTGTGCGTATGTGTGTGTGTGCGTATGTGCATGCGTGCAGAGAGAGAGGCTGACAGAGAGAGAGAGATGCTGGCCTGCCCTCTGCTAGATTAATGTCACCCGTCTTCTTCTCCTCCATCTCAAGCACCACCTCCATCCACTCTGCACGACCTTCCCTCCTCCAAGAGAGAGGCCATCCATCCATTTGTTCACCCATACATCCATCCACCCATCTGGCTGACTGATGCACAGGAGGGGAATGAGACTGTCAAGATCCCTGAACTTCAGCAGCGCATCTCTCCCTCCCTCCCTCCCTCCCTCGCCATTAGGAGTGGTTGAAGGACTCATAGTAAGGACAGGATATCTTTATAGTTAATATTAATGTGCAGAGACAGAGGACAAGGTCTCCCTGTAGAGAGCTTTACCTTGACATATGCTCACTGATTCTCCACCTATCCCTCTAACTATGTTTCAGTCTATCTCCGTCCACCACTCTCATCATCCTGTCTTTTTCACATCTGTTTCTTTTCACCTTCTCCCTCTTATCCTTTTTCTGTTTCTTCTCTTCCACACCTTCTGTACTTTGCCATTATGCCCTTTATCTCTATTTCTCTCTTTATCCCTCTGTCTTCTGGTACAGAGAGTTTGAGGCGGCGAGACAGAGAATGAGACAGAGAAATGAGGGTTATAAAAGGAGGGATGAAGGACTGGACCTGTGAGGGATGAGTTTGGCCCGCAAGCAATATGGCTGCCATGTGGGAGGCCGATGAGTCCTGCCTAATACCCCACACTTTTGAGTTATACTGCTGTGTAGCACCTGAACACTGACACACATGCACATGCACGCAGAGTCGCTGACAACCAGCTCCTGCTGAGGTGTAAATCTCAGGCTTTGCATGTCGGCCACTAAAACTAGGTGTAGTGCAACGGGCTTCACATTGAATCTCGACTAGATTACATTCACAATCAGTCGACTGACAGCCAGACAAAACTGAGGGCAACAGACAGCTTTACATGACGTACACACAAACAGCAGATGTTAATTCTGCATTATGCTTTAAAAACCAGGCTGTTTTCCTCCAGCTGCTAATATAAATTAAAGAAAACTAACCCGCAGAGGTAAATTTACATTACATTTCATTTAGCTGATGCTATTATCCAAAGCAATCTACAATAAGTGCATCAACCATGAGGGCACAAACCCAAAACAACAAGAATCAAATAAGTACAATTTGTTTCAAAAAAAGCCAAACTACAACTGCTACCCTTATGTGCAACTAAACTTTTTCTTTCTTTTTTTATAGAAGGCTATAGTGACCAAACTACCAGGAACATAAAAATGTATTTCTTTAAAAGTTTCTGGGATTAAACCAGGCATTACTTGTACATTATTAACAGCAACAGAAAGCTAAATTGTTCAGTGAGGTTGTCATCGATCCAGGGTAGTATCCTGGGGAGTGTAGGCAGTCAGTATATCTCTTCTTCAAGGATACAGAGACAGATATGGTCAGTTTGGGGACTGAGCCTCGATAATACCTGTCACAGAATCCTTGAGTAAGAAATTTAAAAAGGAATCACTACGCTCTACTGGTCACTTTCCCTTGAGCTGCAGGCACATTCATCCTGCAACAGGATTTAACGACTGAATTCACTGTTCGTCTGTCCACAGGGTTTCTTGTGGTCCTGTAAAAGTCTGAATTGTCATCATCAGCAAAACTAAGAAAAACTCCAGTACACCCAAAGCTTCTTTTGGTGGGATTTTAGCAATTCTGAAATTTCATTGGAGAGTGGGAAAATGTCTAGCAAACTGAGAGTTACCAGGAAAAAATGAAGGAGGAGGACTGATAGCATTCGGAAAGCAGAGCCTGAACAGATCAATAGTTGGTCAGACAGAAAACAAGCCATGTAAAATGGAATATGTATAATCCTGGAGCATAATATGAAACCAGTGCTGTCCCTGTTTGCAAAGAGGCAGACAATGGGATAGCCATGTTCTCTCATCTACTGAGGTCTTGTTCTCAGGGTTTCAATTAGGGCCTCCTGATTTCCCCAGGGGGGCACCCCCTCTCATGGAGATGCCTCATTATGAGAGGAAACACACACACACACACACACACACACACACAGAGGCAGAAATGCTGCATTCAGGCGCACACACACTTACCCCTGACTTCTCATCAAAGATTTTGATCCCTCCAAAGGAAACAGTCAGAAACACCTTCTGTTTGTGATCTCCTTTGGACCGTGCTGCAGCAGCTATACCCTGAGGACAAAACAGACACACACACAGAGAGAGAGAGAGAGAGAGAGAGAGAGAGAAAGAGAGAGAGAGAGCAAATAACCATGTTAGAAGCAGGACTGAAACTTATGTACTGTGTAATACGAGGATGACTCCATAAAAAACTTCCCTGCAGGCCACCTCTCGATCTAAAAGACAATATTCCATAAGGATTTTCTTTCAGTGGTCAGTAAAAGTCAATAATAAAAAAAAAAAATCTCTCAACAATATCAGCAATAAACATCACAGTGGCATCGCTTTCTATCTGTCATACAGAGATAAAGTCACTGCACAAGATGGGTATCTACAAAAATGACTTGGACAAAACATAGCAAAAGTTTTAGAAGATATTCAGTTATTCAAAGACCTACAAACAAAATAGCATTCCACTTAAGAATATATTTGAGATTACTGGTATATAGGAACAACAGAACTAGTTTGAAATGAACACCATTATTTGGGAAGAATGACTGAAAATCGTCTTTTCATGTCACAAATTTATGTGTAATTATTACATTCACTAAAAGCTATTTAAGGAGGAAAGACAATTATCTGTGAAATATTGCATATTATATAATATAAACTGCATATCAAGCTACATTTGCTTTGTTCAGTCAATGCAAAAACATTACTATATTTCTTGTCTGTTGAAAGGCATTATGGAATCCAAAACTACAAAAGTAGACAAGGAGTGTGCAGTAAAAAAGTTAACTCGCTACTCTTCAACAGCAACTCATTTCAATTCACAGAAGGCATCATGACATACTGATTTTTAAATCCGTAAGTGTGTCTAAGGGTGGAGTTCTCCCTTAACGTGCATTATACGTGAGGCACAAAAGAATAATAGAGCGGAGTGAGATCAGAGAATGGAGGGAGTCGGAATACGAGAGGGAGGAGCAGTACGAGAGAAGAGGTGGAGAGATCAGAGAAAAGGAGTTGATGGATTTCCTGTCTGAATAAATGAGGAGGAGGGAGGCTGTTTGATCAATGAGCCGTCTATCCTCTCCTCACCCTTCCAGGCCTCGGCTGTATAGAGTTTTCACTACACATAAACAAAACGTAAATGTAATTTCCTCAATTCAAATATATTCTGACATAAATTATAAATGTATCCTGCTGTATTTGGACCTCATGTGTTTCATGACAATTAATAATGAATAGGACGTGTACATTCATTGGAAAAATAAAGCGAAATTTAGGCTCTCTCTTAAGTTTTGACTATTATTTTCTAGAGTAAATTCTTTTAGCGATGTGTTTTCCATATACACGCTGCAGTAAAATATTTCACAGCTTGTGCATTAGGGCTTTTATTGATGAATGAATTTAAAAATGTCCTGTTTGCCCTCACCTTAATCCTCCCCCATCTCTCTCACCTATCATCTAAATTATTCCCTGCCTATGTACCTTCTCTCCTCTGCTAACTGCCCCATCTGTCCACCTTTCCCTCTAATTCTTCTTGTCCTTGCAAATGATACATTTACCCCGAATCCCCTCTCATCCATATGGCTAACCTCCTTACTTCCCCCTGCTCTGATCATTGCCGTCGTCCCTATAAATTACAACGTTACTCTGGCAATTTGTGTAGTAAAACTGCAACTAACTATACATGCACACACATATTCACCGAAACACAGTTGTGCTGTGTTATACAAAACATACATATTTAAAACTTGAACTTTGCAATATGCATGTTGTTGAACTACTTGTGGACCACTGTGTTGGCTGTTGATGGGGCTTTTGTGGTTCATGGTACATTATTAATCCTCCAGATTTAGTCATGGCTCATTACGAACATGCACAGATGCATGTTATTAGGGTTGGGTATTGTTTGGGTTTATTGTTTGGGTGGTACAAAAAATAGTTTTTAAACATCTGATGCATGTACACCCACACTTTTCATTTACCTTTGGGCATTCTGTTGTTGTGTTGACTTGAGTTTGAAGTGGTTACTAGGTAACTGTAGGCTAATGCCTCATGCCACCAGAGTTAACTGTAATATTAACTAGACACATGCTGTGATGTTTATGTTGCCTGTAAACAGGGCAACCATTTTGGTACAGAGCACAGGCACCGTAATGAAGCATCGAAGTCTGCGTTCTGAGTCAGTCTGATCGGTGCCGGCCGTGTAGGAACCGTACCTGATCGACACCAGATTTCAGTATCTGACCCCTCATGTTAGTAGTGAGTGTTAAGCAACACCTTTCAAGAACAAGTCAGTTCTTAACTGAAGATCCATCAACAGGGACAGAAGAGAAGAAGTGAGACTTTCCTTACCTTGAGCTTCATCATAGAGTCCTGGCAGAGTTTGTCTCCACGGGCCGCAGTGACTTCGTCCAGGCCGATGAGCTTAGCCTTGTAGCGGACGCCATCGCCCTTAAAACGTCTGATGAGCGCCGCCTCACTGCGATCCTGCCCTGCAGACACACACACACACACTCTGTAGTCTCTAGTACATCTTCCAGTCAAGGACCTCCATCTACCTCAGACTTAGGCTATTACCTCAGGATCATCAATCACACAGACCACAGCACAGCCCAACAGTAATCTTACAAAAATACAACCGTACCACAGGTCACAGCTTCTGATGTTGGCAACGTATTATTGTTAAGTCAGATTGGAGCGGTGAACTGTGGTGTCATACGGATGACACTGGTCAATATATTCAGACACGTAAATCAATGAAGTTTGGCAGGTCTAGAGCTGCGACTGCTCTCCTCTCCAACCCCTTTCTTGTGCAATATAATAGCATGACATTTTGCTCTTATCTCCCCTGTCTCCCCAGTTTCCCCCCCCTCTCTCCTCACCCTCTATTGTGTAGTAGATTGTTGGTATTGTGCTCATGCATTAGAGAGTGCCGGCGACGGTGTGCGTATGTCGACCTTGCTCTTGTCCAGGAAGTCTCAATGTTATCTCCTGATGCGACTACAACACTCATCTTCACCGTCAACACAAAGCAGAGGGAGAGAATGGCCACTTGTGAGGTTAGACTCACTTTCTCTTCATTGTGCTCTCTCCATCGTTCTCTCATTCTGTCTCTATCTCTGACCTGCAGTGCGCAAACATTTCATCATCAAATATTGCATAGAGGGAACATTCATGCATCTGTGTGTGTGTGTATGTGTGTGTGTGTGTGTGTGTGTGTCTCTGCATTTTGTTTCTCAGTGTGTATGCACGAGTGAAAGACTGCAAGAGTGAGAGGGAGAAGCATAATGATAATGCAGCATATTCAGATAATATATTGAGGCATTAGTTCTGTACTCTATAACAGCGTGACTCTTGGAAGGTCATAGTCTGAGTGATGGAATGGTCCCACTCCTCCTCTGCTCGTTCTTTCACACTCCCTCCATTCACACAGAGTCCCCACAGCACTGCAGTGTAGTAGAAATGAGCTCTTTAACCACAGGCGAGAGCATCGTTTTATATGAGGCTATTGAATCATCTCTCTGTCCAACACTAATCTCCCACCTCCCTCTGCTTTGTCTGCTGGCCCACAACATTCCCATTTGTAAGTATGTATTTGTATCACCTGAATGAAGTCCATTTTTACACAACGGTTGGACAATGTTTAAGGGTATTTAAGGCTAAAAAAGCCTCATTATCAGAGAATTAATGTGAGTGTCATGCCACACATTGTGAAATCCTCAAACATGCACACCAATATGGTGCGGATAATGTTGTTCTTTTGGATCAACGCGCACACTCAGAGTCTCTGCTTTGAGTAAACCGAGGACTGTCTGCGTCAGAGTCTTCAGAGACAAACGAGCTGAGGAACATCTGTCTTTATTTCGGAGAGAGAACAGCGGCGCTCTCTCTATTGTGTCACGTCTCAGTTGGGCTGAGATGAGAGCAGGTGATTAAACCACCAGAGGACTGTTCAGTTCAATGCATAGACGACGTTTAAAGACATTTAAATATTGCGTTCATTAAACTTGAAACAAGCGTGCAGTGTGCAACAGTCAACAGCTATGAAGACCCCCCCGCCACATCTCTTCCCACCGCATCAATAACATAAAATATGCCACGGCTGCTGTGTATAAAGGAATATACTCATATTTCATTCACATGCAAACAACAGCTGTCTGTCAGGAAACATAGCTTCTGTTAATCTCTTTGACTGCGAGTGGATAATCAAGCAGGAGACTTTAATGTCATACAGTAAACTCGATGAAGACACATCTTTGAGAAGCCAACAACAAACATTAAAGAGTTCAGTTTACAAAGTTTTGTTGAGCAAAGTCAACTTTTACTATGAATTGTTTATACTAAAGATGATCTGCTTATCGACAGAACAGAGTTAAACACGTGGCAGGATGTGAACTGGCTATTATTTGAACAATCCGCATGTCCAACGACCTCATCAGAATCTCCAGGGTTCAAACGATTAGACATTAGATGCTCTTTATCTCACAAACAGAACAGTTATGTTTGATTTAACTGTGCAGCACAAACATGGATTGGATGTTTGAGGGGATCATCTTGACCAAAACATTTGTACACAATCATTCGTTTTAAATGTTATATAGTCTGCTGTGCAGCACTTTGTGTGTGTGTATGTCTGCAAGTTAATGTGTGAGTGTTAAATAACACTGAATGTGTCCTACTGCTTTTGTCTCACTGGCACAGTGGTTTTCATTTGAGTCTGACATTTAAGACCTGCTCCCTCCATCTGCATCCATCACCATTACTGCTGCTATACTTAGCACAGCGAGAAGGAGAACACAGAGAGCAGGGGAAGTCGAGAAAGGCCAAGAGGGAGAGAAAGGTGGAGGAGTCCAGGGTTACTTCTCCTGTTGAGTGGTTTATATTACTACCTTTTGGGGACATGTTCCATGAAAGACCTCCCTGTGTCTGTGTGAGAGAGTGTGTGTGTGTGTGTGTGTGTCAGCAGGGGAAGCATTCAGTCCGCTGTAATTAAATGTCTGTTATTGCTGTGACCCCACAGAGCCTCAAACACAACTAATGAAAGAATCTCCCATTTCATCTGTCATGGCTGCTTACACACACACACACACACACACAAACACACACACACACACACACANACACACACACACACACACACACACACACACTAACACAAGCTTCATGCTTTTCTTTATAATGCTCTCACAGAAACAACCATGCACAGCCACATGTTCACGCATGTCCCACCTACCAACACTAATGAAAGAATCTTCGGGTGCATCAGTCGTGGTTGTTTCACAGGTGAACACACAACAAACAATCTCTTTTTGACACATATTCTTATTTTTCTTCATATTTTGCAAAACCTAATGTGTACACACACACACACACACACAACAACAATTTGTAAAGCTTGAATTCTGCCTTCTATACAGTAAAGCAATTACTACCATACAACTCTTTTATGTATGTGTGTGTGTGTGTGTGTGTGTGTGTGTGTGTGTGATAGTACTTGGTATGCAGGGGTGGTTCGACTGTCTGTCTGAAGCAACAAGCAGAGAGGGAGGGAAGGACATAAAGCGGAGAGCAGAGGATAGAAAGGAGGAATAGAATGTGATGGATGGATGAATGAGCGAGGTCTCCATTGGATAAATGTCACTCAGGATTAGGACGTTATGACAGGCAGAAACCCAGAGTCCTACTCATACACACACACATCCACAGGTGATAGATGGCAGGTGACTGCTGGTACAGTATGTATAACCCTTCAGGGAAGCCCTGAGCATCGCCCCAGGCAACTGTAACCTTCTGCCTCCCACGTGCCCCTCCATCACTCTCTCTCTGCCAGCTGGTTCCCCTTATAACCTCGCCTCCAACACGAGATCACCACCCCTTCTTTATCTCTGCAGGATTCTGGGTTACATTATATGGCATACATAGGATTTATTTTCTACTTCACCTTTTACTTTTCTCCTTTTTCTCTTACAAACGTGTTAGTGGCTGTAAAAATTATGAATTTTTAATTTGCAGATCTAGATCAGATTCAGGGATCTTGATCTTGTTTAGGGGACTGTCTGGATCTACTGAATGTAAATGTGGTTTCTTAAGAGTGTCACAGCAATAACTTGATTAGGTAGGTCCTGATATGTAGGAGAAGCCCAAACTGTAGTCCCAGGTTCTATGAAGGTGGATTTTCCTTTTTAATCATAATCAATCATGTTGCTTGGTACGTCTTCTTCCTCTCAAAGGTTCTGAACAATAACTTTTTGACACCCATTTTATTAATGTTTGCTGAATTAGAACAGCTAGTGAATTGCTGATTCTAAAAAGGCCTCTTAGGAATGGTCTTTTTGCAGCTATTTTTTAGAAAATGTAAACGTGACCCCCCCAGTAATTGAGCCGAGGAAAGTAAAGACCTGCTGGACTCAGTCCTCAGAACCCTGAAGCTGCACCACTGTTGCTGCACAAAGAGCTGTTCACCTGTTTATTCAAAGTTCAGGTGAATCTGTCAACACACTGTTGTTGTGAATATCAATGTCACTTATGTTCTTGAGTCCCAGCAGGTTTGTTAATATTGAACATAACGTGCTGCTTTTTGAAGGATATACGTACTTATATGTTCTAACACAGAACGAATGAGCTGCTGAAGTATCCAGGTGATCATCAATGGTGCATTCAAGCACATGCTGATCATCCAGGCTGTATATTGAAGTCAGGTGCAAGGGTGTAGAAGTGTTAGGCAATAACGCATTAACGTCAGTCTAGTTCATTAATTTCATTAGACATAATAGAATAAAAGTGCACTCATGGCTTTGGTTTCATTTCTGATTCACGGCAGGAAGTTGTAGACCTGATATGTGTACGCCTCAGAAATTATGTTAGTGGCACAAACGCTGATTCGACTCTCAACAGCAGTGCCTCAGTGTTCACTCATCTGTTTAGTTTCAGCAGACCTGTGGTGTGTGCCGAGGCTGGTTTAAAGTGTGGAGCTTGTTTCACTGTGCTCCAGATGAAGCAGCATCCAGAGGCTCTTAACTACAGCTGGGATGGTTCCCAACAAACACTCAACAGCACATGAGGGAACCCGCCAGTTACTCTCCAATTAATCCTGCTACTAAACCGTGTTGCAGAATGTTTATTCGTGAATGGGAACGTGTTTGTTTCTGTGCTTTCCGTACCTATCAGGGAAACGTTCAGATGAAGCACTCACTCATACCCGCTCTCACACAGACTCTTTTAAACCCACAAACAGCATGTGCCAACAAAACAACAAGTTTTCCCTTCAGCTCCATGTTTAATTCTGGCAGATTGATTTGGCACACAAGAGCTTACACTTGACTGAGGATGCGCACATGCTACAAATACATAAGCATCGTTGCTGAAGTGAATCACCGGGTGTCAAATGAGATGATAAAGTACCGTTGCCACTCATCAAGTAAATGAGTGCTGGGCCTCTGATGATTTTTTTCTGTCTTATTTGCAACATGACTGCTCTTGTGTTTATGAAATG